GATGATGATTGAAGAACTTTCATATCAAACACATTAGACTGACCTCTCTCTCCAATCAGATAAATTCAGTAAGTGTATTCATTCTCATCTCATCTGTTTTAACTTATAAAACATTAGGCCAGTGTTGTAGTACTCGAGATCGGTCTTGGTGTCGAGACCATTTTTTGATGGTCTCAGCATTTTATTTCAAGACCAGTCGAGATTGCAACTGTGAAAATATCACTAAACGTACAGCATTCTGTCCAGTTTATTTGTTAACATCTTTGTTTTCGGTGGATGCAAAACGCACCAATTAAAATCCAAGCAATTACGTGTTTTTGACTGACTTGTCGCATATATGGGTCAACGCTGTGTCCAAAAGTCTGCAATATAGTGATGTGACATTCAGAAACAGTCCAATTCTTCTGCACGGCACTTTACTTATTAGATAGGACTGGAGTGTCACATTGTTCTGTCAGATTACCATACGCTGTCAGAATAGCATACATGCAGTGAGTACCATGCATGCGCATTAAAAAGTCCGACCGTCAGACGAGTTGTCAGTTCACCATACGCAACAAGTTATGGCGAAAATAAGTCATTAAATTGTTTACAATGATNATTCCAAAAACAAGAGAAACGGGGAGAAAATAAATGGTCACTAATGAAAGATGTCCTGTGCAAGTCTTAAAAGCCTTTCTTCGTTCCTGCGCTGTTGAAATTTTTGACAAAGCATAAACAATACAGCAGTAAGTTGCTAGGATAAATGCTAGAGGAAGCCAAAGCATAATAACGGGACACAAAACACCAATTACACGGCTGGGGGAAACATCGTTACAGCCCAGTCTGTACACAGGGCCATGGTCACAGAAGTAGCTGTTAATAACCACAGACTTACAGAATGACAATCTTGTGATGAAGCCAACAAGAATGAGGATAAGAGTGATGGAAAAAATCCACAAAAAGGCGATCAAATTGATCATAAACCTTTGGGTCACTTTCACTTGGTAGTGCAGAGGGTACATGATCGCCATCAGTCTATCATAAGACAGTGCCACCAGGTTAAAGGATTGCATTGCAGGTAGTGTAAAGCCAAAAAACATGAAGGTCAAGCATTCATTGTACGAAATATAGCGATGATTGAAAAGGAAGATGTCAATGATTTTTGGTAAAAAAGCTGTGCTGCTTAAGATGTCAGTTAGAGCGAGACTGAAAACTGCAACGTATTTCGGACCTTTCAGAGTATGATCCACAATTATGAGAGTCAACACAGTTCCATTTCCTACCACTGAAAGAACATAAACAAACAACAGAAAGACAAAGTAGAAGTTCACGTTAGGAATGCCAATAAAACCTGTTATGATAAAATATGCAGGACGGACAAAGGTGATGTTTTCCTCAAGAGCTGGATTGAAAAGTTCCATCTACTCGCTTCAAGTCTTTTCTACTTCGACAAGCTTTGTTCAGAGGAGAGCAACTGAAATGGAAACACTGCTTCTCTTCTCTGACTTATAAGAGTTGAGGTTTGTTCCCTTGTGTCAGCTTTACAGAAGCTCAAAGTTTGGTTACCGGGAGTGGAAATACGTTTGTTGTAGAAACCAAGCACATGCTCAGACTTGAAACTTTTAAAAATAAATAAATCACATTAGTGGTAGTGAGATGATGATTGAAGAACTTTCATATCAAACACATTAGACTGACCTCTCTCTCCAATCAGATAAATTCAGTAAGTGTATTCATTCTCATCTCATCTGTTTTAACTTATAAAACATTAGGCCAGTGTTGTAGTACTCGAGATCGGTCTTGGTGTCGAGACCATTTTTTGATGGTCTCAGCATTTTATTTCAAGACTAGTCGAGATTGCAACTGTGAAAATATCACTAAACGTACAGCATTCTGTCCAGTTTATTTGTTAACATCTTTGTTTTCTGTGGATGCAAAACGCACCGATTAAAATCCAAGCAACTACGTGTTTCTGTTTCTCCCCCCTCCCCACCTTTCACTCGCGCGCGGCGCTCCAGGACATGCGCAGTGGTTTTCTCTCAGCGGGAGAAAATGTTTGTCTAATCGTCAGTAATATAATAGCGCTGCATAAATAGTAAGAAATGCGATGGCCACAGCTAACTCAGCAGCGCTTCGCTTTCACAGACGGTGGAGACAACATCTAACTTTTTTCGTCACTTAGAAAAGTAGCTCAAAGAAGGTAAGTTCCGTTACCGTGATGTTAGTAAAGCTAGCTGTACAGAGACACATAAGAATTTGTGATGAAAAAAGTCACTCACTGCCTGAATTATTGTGCGGAGGTGTTGACTGACTTGTCGCATATATGGGACAATGCTGTGTCCAAAAGTCTGCAATATATTGATGCGACATTCAGAAACAGTCCCATTCTTCTGCACGGCTCTTTACTTATTAGTTAGGACTGGAGTGTCGCTGAGAGCCGTTGTTCTCTGTCAGAATAGCATACATGCAGCATATGCAACAAGTTATGATGAAAATAAGTAATTAAATTGT